AAAAATATGACTGAATATCCTGTCAATGAAGTTATGTATACGCTGTGCCCGAAGGGGTATTTATATGTTGTCCTTTCTGAAAGTTATAAACTAAGTACGATTTCTTACAATTTTTTGTGTTTTGAAAAACTTTGAAGATAATTACGGGAAATCACCATCGCGTCGCGTTATGTGTAATTACTGTTATCATGTATATGACTTGTAATTCGATAGTGTATAGTGAATATAATTATTTTTTACCTCACTCATTTTTGAAATCCAGCAAATTGCAAATTTGCATATGTAATTTCCAGAATGGATAAGAAAAAGTGGATGCGCATCTAATTTCTAGCTTTGAAACTCAAGTAAGTGTATTTAAGACAAGAATCCATTGGAATTATCATCAACACATTATTAGCAAACAAATCCTCACTATGCAACTATGCATTGCCGGTACCGTCTAGCTATAGTATACAACTTACAGCTTAGACCTCCTGTAATTCCATCTCTGAAGCATATTGTACATCACATCAGAGCCAAACATTGATAACTGAGGACTCATGAGGCTTAGGCAACTCGTACAACTACAAAACGAGTTCACAACGTGTCCATCAGCTAGTGCTAAGTTAACATCTTGTAGAAAAACCTACTTAATATCACAAGAAGCCGATACAACTTCATAGAAAATCGACATAATGTCACTTTTCAAGATACGTCATACTGTAGCGTATAAAAAAACAACAAAATATGGCTCTGTCCACCTGACGTTGACGGATCCGCCAGAAATACGTATCAATCAGCTATGAAACTCTCGTGTCAGATATTCTTGGCAATCTTAAAATGACGTTTTGTTTTGATTTAGAATAGTTTGTGTGAATCAATAATAAAAGGAGTATGCTTTTCCAGTGTATTGATGACTATTTATTTATGAAAAAGCTTCAGAATAAATTTGTAATGGTATAAGTATTTACAATAAGCAGAAATATTTACTTTTGCCATGTATTCTTCGCTGCTGCGATATTCTCAATCCATTGAATTTTTAATGTGAGCACTGTTACGAGTATATGAAAGTCTTAAGAACAAAAAAAATCATGGAGTGGTCTATTTCAAACCCGTAAATGAATAAAATAACGTGAAAAAATATGTATACCTTGTATTTCCAATTAGAAAACGTTTCGTAGGATACATTTTTGATATACATATTTTGAGGAGTTTGTTCCAGAATTTCGGAGTGGCGAGCTACAAATAATATCGAAAGGAATGTCATGTTGTGCCCAAAAAAAGGGCGACTTCCTTTTTTCGTGCATACCTAAGAGAATTTACACAGTTCCGTATTTTCAACTTGTAGAGTGGAAATAGGGCTAATAACGTTGTTCGTCCTTTAAGGCGGCTCCGACGCAGTGAGTTTCAGGCCATTTACAAGGGTTTAGCTGCTTCGGAATTGACGCTCCATTTTTCTATATATTTGAATAAAATTTATACAGTATGTTCAGAAGACAATTGTCCAGGGTGCTATAGAGCCACTTTTCTAAAAAAAATTTTTTTTCAGGAGTTATGGTGGGTGGAAGTGCAGATAATTGTTGTTCGACTTCTCGATTTTTTTAAAAATAACCCAGAGGAAAAAACGAAAAAGTGGCTCTATAGCACCCTGTGGAGTCTTGTTTTTAGTGGACTGTGAAAATTTCATTGAAAAATATTCAAAAATGAAGCGTCAATTTTGAAGCGCGAAAACCTCTGCAAATAGGCTTTTACACGAATTTTATCCACTATCTCGTGCTGCCAGTCGAAGCAACGCGGCGGTGTGTAGGGACTCAGATAATTTGTTGTCCCAAGTTAAACAGTAGCAGTTTTGACGTCGGTCGTTCGAGATAAACATCGGACCAGTAAGTGACATTTTTAATAGACTTCAATGAAAGAGGGGAAATTTTTAATCGATTTTGATCATTTCTTTTTATACAATAGGCCATGCTTCAGAGGTGATAACACAAAAATTCATGTTTGTTCAATCACCCCAATATGGATATCAAATGGAAGCACTTGTACAAACCAGTAATACGAAAACAGTTCCAAATCAAGATGGCGGCCGTCACAAAATGGCGGATAACATACTTGCTAATATCTCAAATAAGAGTCGTCGCCTTGTAGACTACAGTACTTCACTAAAAATTTGATTCCAAGATTGCCGCCGTTTCGAAATTGCGAGTTACATATTTTTGTACAAAACCCCCAATTTACATATCAAATGAAAAGACTTGACATGTGTGGTAAAATACAGAACTTTGTGACCAAAAGTTTCCAGGTGGTTCCAGGGTCATTGGAGGCGGTAATCTTTTTAGTTAAAAATAATAATTATAGTGAACGCATTTAACACAAATAAAATGTCACTTGCTGTTTAGCTTTAACCTTATGAAGTATCGTAAAATAAACTTAACACGATAAGCGTCATGAGATATAATGCATGTGTCGCACCTCATTTGGCGCTTTGGGCCTCGTGACACACATGATATGTCTCACTGCTGGCAGTTATATTTGGCCGCGTAACGTAAGACGTGTGCCATGCTGATGTGATTTTCTTACGGGAACCAAGAGTCCGTGGCCTGAGGGACCAAATTATACTGAATTGGAAATGAAAACATTAAAAACACGTTGTTTATAGAGTTTTACAAAAAGAGGATATTCTACAAATCTAAAACAAAAAGCAAATCTTATAAAATAATCAGACATTCTCATTCAAAAATGAAAAAAGTAATTTCACCGCAAATCAGTAAGTTATGGTAAATGTCGATATTCTAACGAACACAAATATGGAGGAACTCTTATAAACTAAACAGATTCACAAAGTCTTATGCAGGAATAAACAAAATACCGGTATAAATAAACAGTAATACAGATAAATATGGAATTACTACAACTACTATCTGATTCACTACCACTTGGAGAATACGCATCAGATAAGTATACATCCCCACATAACTCAGTACTGCCACTCTCTTCATCCGATAGTATTTCATTACACAATTGTTCAAGCCTTTTTTGCTCCGCTTCGTAATGCGACATCACTAAGTTTGGTATTCAATAATTTATAAACAGTAAAGCAATTTGGACAAGATGACGTACAATACCAACAACGCTTCAATAATAAATGACACGAAACAGTGCTCAACGCGCGACATGATGCAAGTCTTGACTTGCAAAAAACGCGACGCGACTTGTGTGCCACGCGACCCGACTGGTCTGTGGGCCACGCGACATACAACTAGTACCTCAGAAAAAAAATCAAAAAAGGGGAATAATCATAGGATTTGAGAAAAAAGTCAAGTCAAAATATTAAACCGAAACTTAAAACAAGCTAATTTGACAATAATAACAGTTTGGCCCAGTGGACTGGATTTTCAGATTCTACTGTGGCGCTTAACGGGTCAATGTGACATTTCAATATTCGCCATCTAACAGACTAGATAAAGCTAGCCGATGCTACGTGCTATTGAGCCTGACGGTTGACTTTTATTTAAATAAACAATATATACATAATATACAATAAATAGTGAACATCTGGTACTAGTACCAAAACGGAAGAGATTAGCATAACATCTCGCACATCGCTGCTAAAGCGAGATCTGCACACCGCATTTGCCGACACGAACGGGTTAGTAACGGCGTACAATGTAATATGCTAATCCCTTCCATTTTGGTACCCGAGTACAGCAAAAATAGCCAATTCTCAAGAACTCTTTTTCTTGTTCAAACGGTTCCCTTGTGCCTTCAAGATCACATCGGGATCGCGGATTGGCATATTTCTGCTTTTCCTGGGATCGACCAGTTCTGGGAGCAAGCAGTTCATCTAGAAGAATTTCAATTTCTCTTCCATTACATTTTTCCGTCATCCTTTTGAATGACGTCTATTTTCAAACCATACGGGGTCCAAACACCAAGCACACAGTACTCTCTTTGTGCAACGTGTAGCTGCCCTTGAATTTGGTAATACCACTTCTGTTTTTTATTTATTTCATCGTTTATCAAAAACGTAATTTTTTTGTTCAGAATGCCCTCTTCAGGGGTCATTTCTCTAGCCGACCATGGACATTTAATTTCTAGCAGACCTTTTTCGTCTATCAAACCATCTGGCGATGCTGCCAGAAATGGATGGGTCCTACCAATGAACAACCCGCAAGATTGTACTTCTGATTGCGAATATGATTTCTCTATTTCTGCTTTTACCACGCTTTCATGCCTTTTTCCATAGTCACATGCATTGCTAAAGAATTCGGTTGGGTATATTATGGCGTTTACTAGAGCTCTGCAACTTGTTGTATCTCTTCTTCTACAAACCTCACCAAACCGAGACGCAGTCAACCTCATTCTTCGATGAAGACTCCACAAATTGCAATCCTGAGGTTTTGTGGCTTGATCGATCTGGGAAATTTCGGAGTCGGTTTTTGCAAGTTTTTTCAAGAATTCTACCTTGGCAGCCTCTATATCTTCGTTGCTCATGTCAGGCTTCTCACAGAATTCCCCATAGGATGCGTTCTCTTTAGTATCACTAACTCTGATTTAATTTTCCTTGGTTTCAGCTTCCTTTTCAGTTTTTGTGCGCTCTCCTTTCTTCAACTTTAGCAATCAAAGAGGTTGGACTGAAACTAGGGAGTAGCCGCTTTTGGATCACACAAACAGGCCGCTGTGTATTGTGGCTCACTACGGCTGCAGCACATCTTCCTTGGTAGGATCTCTTCTTGCAATAATTAATCCGTTTACCCCCAATGAATTTAGCTATGATTGAGTTAAACTGCTCTACAATATTATTATCGACGTCATGAAGTAAACTTACTGCATTTTTAATCAGAATTGCCAGAAATGATATCAGCCTCTGGTGCAAATCTAAAAACAAAAAAGGGTATACACACCTGAATTTGAAGATCCATGCCATCTGTCTCTGTTAGAGAATGCATATGCGAAACCTTGCTGTCATTTTTAAGCTAAAATAACATATAAAATATAGTTATAATAGTAACTACGTATAGTCTAATTTTTTGGCAAAATGAATGCTAAAATTCATAATTGTTTTGGTACCTACCTTTCTATCTGGAAAACGTTTTTTTCCTGTGCGTATTTAAATGCGGCTTCTTCGAGATGCCAGGTTTATTTCTCTTATTGTTCATTTTTGATACCTTGATAAGAAAGACACTCAACAATAACAACACAACAATAACAACACAACAATAACAACACGATAATACAACAATACAATAACGGTAATAAGAGTAATAAGGGCTGGGTATACTATGCGCCAAAATAGGGAAACAGTCGTACGCTAGATCGTATATCCAAATCAAATCCGACTCTGTGCCATATGCAAATTCAACCAGGCACGCGAACAGCACACCTCTGCGTATTACTATCCTTTTCTAACGTAGAGCGCTTGCCTTGTCATAACGCCGTCCTACTAGCGTTTCCCTATCACCCCCCCGATACCCCTCAGAAACTCTGCTTGACTGTGAGAGCGCCGTTAAAGCACTTGAAAATATCATAAGTGTGCTTTCCCGATGGAAGTATTTAAATATTTTACTTGCAGCGAGTATTATTCAGTATTTTCAGGCAAGTTCATAAAAAATAAACATATATCTCATTAGGAAAAACGCCAAAGACTCACACGAAATAAAATATAAATATGACTACTAAGCTTTAAAACAGGTTTTACATTTGTGAGGTTAACATCTACAAGTTTGGAAAAATTATACAAAAATTACATCTGACCTAGTATCTGAGCTCCCAATATGACAATTCAAAAACCCAGTCAAGTCATAAATTTCGGGATTATAATACTCATTTAGGCCATTTCGATTTCTTTCATAATGTTTCCTGGTGCTTTTACATGGCATTTGTGCGATAAGCTGATAAGCCAATTACTTTGGACAAAAATAAGAGACATTATCAGTCGATTATATAGGTGCTTAAAATAATCATATACGCAAAAACTTGTCAAGTGTCCTGTACCAACGACTGTCACTAGTAAATAATAAAATAACAAATAATCAGCATAATTATTAGGAAAACATTCAATTGCAACAAAAGTTTTGCGAGTGACCTTTATTTGCATAGTCGCCATATTACTGCCTAATGATATAATGAGACATAAGCACAACGAAATGCATATGCCATTAGTGGAGTAAAATATTCTCAGTATTAGTAGATAAGGCATGCACAATGTTGCAATGTGATGGGATTGGGTTTTAAACCTGTATAGGTATTTTTTTTTAAATCGGGCTAATTTTTCTGCAATTTAAAGTACTGTACATCCACGCATTTTTATAAGAAATCATTATTAGTGATAAGTGGAATTCGATTCATGCTTGGTTTAGACATTTTGAATCCCCTAAAAAAATTCAGGCTACGGCCTAGAGTCACCAAAACGGTGGAAAGATAAAGCCACTCCTAAAACATGTTCAAAAATGATCAGAATCTCAACGAACATCGAGAACGGAGTTTATAAAGTTTTGAAATGTTTTGTTTTATCATAGTGATATATATTTAGTACTATATTTATTTACTCTAAAATACAGGGAATATGAAACGAGTAAATAAATATAATTTATCCATAGAGGGACAATGCCTGTGCATGGATCATATGTATGATGAATTGCAAAAGATAAAAAAAAGAAATAGAGATAGAGAGAGAAAAAAAAACGTAATTATTTGTAAGAATGATAGCATTTACAGTGCAATATTTGAGATTATTCTATTAATTTTATTTCTCCCAATCGTGTTAATAATTTTTTTTAAACTGAATGTATTCCGTAATTGTTTTAAGTTATTTGGTAAATATCATACAATTTTGGAGCTAAGTACAGGTGAGATCGTTTCATTAAAGATTTGTTTGGTTTAGGAACATTTTTTGCGCGTAATTTATATCTGGGGTTATGACTATGTTTAATTATATTGCGTTCACTTATAATTTTGTGATGATGAGTGATGGTATGTAAGAAGTGAAATTACTTAGTAACATATACTTGTGCATCATTTTACAAATTATCAAGTGGGTATAATTTTGATTTGCCAAACATTGATTTTAAAATTGTTCTTTGAAGCACATCTAAATCGTTAAGGTAAGTACGTCGTGCATGCATCACTTGATACTACTATAGCATATGTTATGTGCGGCTCAACTGAAGCTTGATATATTATTCGTAGATAATATTCAGTTAATATACCAGTTATAAATTTTATTTTATATGCTATGAATCTAATTTTCTTTAGTATGTAAGAAATATGTACTAGATCAATTCCTAAATATTTTGTATCATTAACTCTATCGATTTTTAGATTTTTATCATTTACCATAAAGAGAAGGTGGTTATAACTTGGTAAATGATTAGATGGTGATGAAAATCGTAAAAAATTAGTTTTAGTAAAGTTAATTGTTAATTTTCGGCTCTCAAACCACTGAATAATTTTACAAAAGTCATTTGGATAACATCTTTTAAGTCGTTCCAATCCTTACCTTTATAGCTGTGTTGTCCGCAAAACTGACTATTTTACCACTACTATTAATTTTGGATATATAGTTTAAATAAATATTGAATAACAGAGGGCCCAAAATTGTACCCTGTGGTATACCACATTTAACAAACATTTCTTTACTATATGAGCTTAATAATTTTACTGATTGCTGTCTATTTGGTAAATAATTTTCCATTAAAGTATACATCTTTCCGCGAAAACCCATTTTTTCTAAAATTTACAATAGTATATTTTAGTTTACTGCGTCAAACGCTTTTTGTAAATCGACAAATATGCATATCCATGGTACCTTTACATCCATATTTTGGGTAATTTCATCTACTATACTTAATACCCCATATGTTTTAAAACCATATTGATTTCAATTTAAAATTTTAAATTTATTGAGAAACTTAATCATTTTATTAAGGAGTAATTTCTCAAAAGCTTTAGCTAAACTTTATACAGGGTGGTCCGTAAGTCCTTTGAAATTTCAAATTTGAATAAAATTTAACGGGTGAGCGTGAGCGGCGCGGGCGAGGTGGGGGCAGTATCTTCAGTGTCTGGGAATTCAGTCGCCATGGAGTGTTTCACTGGAGCGGATCGTGTTTTTTGTGTGCGCGGGTTTTATCAAAATAATGATTCGGCAACCATTGCGCGGCGTAAATATCGAGAATACCACAATTTACACAATTTTACAAAGTGTCCAACAGCTCAAACGATTAAGAACTGGGTTGCTAAGTTCGAAGAGACTGGTTCGACGTTAGATAAACAGCGGTGGGGTCGACCAAGGACAACTCGTATTGAAGAAAACATCAACATTGTGGCACAGTCTGTTCGTCAAAATCCTACCCAGTCTACTCGTAAGCGTTCCAGTGCACTAAACGTACCCAGAACATCTTTACAGCGGATTTTAAGGAAAGATTTACGTCTGCACGCTTACAAAATTCAGTTAGTGCAGGAATTAAAAGATAATGACGCTATTCAGAGACTAAACTTTGCGAATGAAATGTTGAATCGATTTTCTTCGCTCAATAATGTGTTGTTCTCGGACGAGGCTCACTTCCATTTAAACGGGCATGTAAATAAACAAAATTGCCGTTATTGGAGCCCCGAAAATCCAAGGCGTAAGCATCAGAAGCCCTTACACAGCCCTAAAGTTACAGTTTGGGCTGCTATGTCAGCGCATGGCATCGTAGGCCCTTATTTTTTTGAGGACGACACAGGTCGCGCATTAACTGTTACTTCGGAGCGGTATGTAGCAATGATAGAAGAGTTTTTGATACCAGCGTTGTAGAATTTTCCAGGCTATAATACGCAGACCTGGTTTCAACAGGACGGAGCAACTGCCCACACCTCCAACACTTCTATGCCCGTCGTCTGTCAACTTTTTCCCAGCAAAATAATTTCTCGAAGAGGAGACATTTCCTGGCCACCACGTAGTCCAGATTTGACCCCAATGGACTTCTTTTTATGGGGCTACCTCAAGAGTAAAGTGTACGACACCACTCCGCGATCAGTTGATGTCCTGAAAGAAAATATCCGAAGAGAAATGGCAAGCATTACAGTGTTGACTTGCCGCGCAGTCATCGACAATTTTAGACGTCGTTTATATGAGTGCCGTGATCGTAATGGATTGCATTTAGAGGATGTGATTTTTAAAACATAATTCCCATTCAATAAAGATGATAACAAAATATAATAATTCTTCATAATGTAACTAGTTTGGTTTTATTCCTTTTTTTCCAGCTCAAAGGACTTATGGGCCACCCTGTATAAGTGAAATAGGCCGATAGTTAGTGACATTCGTATTATCATAAGCTTTATAGATAGGTATGATAACTGCTGTCTTGAAAGCTGATGGAAATACTCCAGATTGAAAGGATTTGTTAATGATATGAGCAAGTGGTTCTGTTATTTGTTTGGCAAGCCGTTTCAGATGCTCAGTTCTAATTTCGTCAACTCCAGGGCTTTTTTAGGGTCATAATGGCATTGAAAACATCCTGGCAGACTACTTCAGTTAATACAAATGAATTATTCAGTCTTGTTTCACGCAGCTGAACATCAGCATTTTGTTTGATATTATTTGTCAAGTTTTCTCCTATTGTCATGTTTTTGTTTTTATTTCATTAATATTGTTTTTTTAATGGGAGGACTTATTGGATATATCATTGACATTGGACAATAGGTGCCTAGAGTCATGTGAATTATTATTCAATATTTCTAAATAATAATTTTGTTTTGCTTCTCTTAAAAGTTCTATAAATTTGTTATTATACTGCTTATAATGATCTATATTTTGTTTTGTGGGTAATTATTTCATGATTTTATATAGTCTTTCTTTTTCGTTTGCAGATTTTATTAGTAGGTCCGCCGTTACTGGGTAGATTTCCAAATCTTGTAAGACTGTTTCCTTTTTGCCATAATAGATCTTGTTTCAGGTAGGCCGGGATGAATGTGTGATATACCGTTCAAAAATGGCGTCAGGTAGCTTGAATCTGCAAATCCCACGCAATGCTGTCATTAGTTCACGAAGAATTATGTCCGGCACAATTTTTCTTATAAAAATAAGTTAGCTACGAAAATGTATAACAAAATAATTAAGTGGGCCTTCTCTTCACCCTGACAGAAATTCCTACACGCCCACATGATCGTTGCAATTACCAATCCCGCCTGAATGACGATATTGGCCTCACTTAAACAGGTCCATACAATAAGTGCATAGA